GCAAAGAATGACTGGCAATTAGCATGATTTTGAAGAAGCTGAAGGCATAAATTATACAAAATGAGTTTTGAATTATGCTAATGGACAATCTATTTTTTGGCTGTATTTGTATGATTCTTTAAATACAAAGTACAAAAACAAAGTAGTTAGAAAATAACTCCATCAGGGTAGATTTCAAAACCCATGTGAAATTATATGCAACAAACCAATACTACAAATATGTGCCTGCTCACATCCAACTTTTCTTGATCATCAAGCTTTCAACGTTCTTCACAAGAAATGACGTGAGATGTCTAATATGTTGACTGTCAATGTTGATTTCAAAGATGAGAAATTTTTTTTTTTTCTTGGGATACAAGGGTGAAGTTTCCGCGTGGGCCGAAAGGGGAATAAATAAATCTGGCCCAAACTGGTCGAGAAGTTGAATCCTCAACAGCGACATACAAGGGGCCTTCATATAAGGCCCTTTCAGCGTCTGGCTCCAAACAACCTCCGCAAATTATCGCCAAAAAAAAATAATAAATAAAAGAGAGGGGGAAAGCCAGGAAAACAAAACAGCTCTCAGCCTCTCACCGTTTGGATTCTTTATTTTGACTTGGTTATAAGCCCTAACCCTAAAACACTAATCAGGGTTTCTGTTCTCGTTGATTAGCGTCTGCTGAACGTTCAAATCATTCTCCCAGCAAATCCCTTTTAGGTAATCTACGAATTTTCAATAGAACCTCGATTTCTTGATTGTAAGAATTCCGTAATTGATTTCATTATTATTCTTATTTGTTCCTGCTTTTTATTCTTTCTTTCCATGTTCAATCCTTTCTTCTTGGATTTTTTCCCTTTTCAGATCTAATATCGAGTAGGTGTTTATATTTGTTTGATATCCTTGGAATCATGGCTACCAGTGAGTATTCCAGTTCAAATAAGTCATTGAGTTAAAAAAAAGAATTGATTTTAGCTGATTTATGGCGTGAAAATTGTTCCTTTAATATCATAATTATTATCGTTGCTTTTAATTTTAGGATTGCAATTTGAGAATTCATGCGAAGTTGGAGTTTTTTCTAAGTTGACCAATGCTTATTGCTTGGTCGCCATTGGAGGTTCTGAGAACTTCTACAGGTTCGCTTCAAGCTACTCTACTAACATGATAAAATTTATTTTCCCTTTTTCTTCAGCAAATCTTTTTTCTTGTGTGTAACCTATATATTGTGTATTGTAGTACGTTTGAGGCAGAATTGGCTGATGTAATTCCGGTAGTGAAGACCGCGATTGGTGGCACTAGGATCATTGGAAGACTTTGTGCTGGTGAGGACTTTAGAAGGCTCTTAGAGTTATTTTGCTTGTAGAGACATGAGTACCATTGGAATGACTGTTTAGATAGGATAACTTTCCCCCTTTTTTCATTTAGGAAACAAGAATGGGCTTCTCTTACCGCATACTACCACCGATCAAGGTAACAACTTCATGAACTTGTTGCTAGTACAGTTATTGTGTATCTTTTGATTCACAGCTTTAAAATTTTTAAGCAAATAATTTTCCTTTCAAGTATTGATATTCAGCTACACTGTGCAATGTATAATCTTTGTTCTTTTCCTTTTTCATTTGTCTTCTTCTTGGGTTGGTTGACCATGTTTTTGTTGGATTTAATTGATGACGTATTACATGTCATCATAAGATCACTATTTGTTCGTAAAAAAGTTGTGGTGCATATGAGAATTATCTACCTTTGCTTGTGGATGTGTTATGGACTTTCAAGGTTCTGACTTTGATTTACATTATATGTGATAAAGAACTTCAGCATTTGAGGAATAGTCTACCAGATTCAGTTGTTGTTCAGCGCATTGATGAGAGACTTTCTGCATTGGGAAACTGCATTGCCTGCAACGATCATGTTGCACTTACACACACCGATCTCGACAGGGTAATATTGTCCTTTCCCTTGATAATAACATGCTTAATGATTTGGATACCATATATCTTATGTGAAAAAGTTAGTGGCAATTTTGCTATACCTAATAAAGCAGTGCTTTTCCAATTCTTATATTGTCTGGGAATGCAATTGACCTGATTGAAACACTTGCATGTGTCATCTAGACTCTTCCTCCCTATGTTTATCTATATGCCTGTACATCCTATGCCTGTCATGTGACAAATCTGAAGTCTATGCATGCTTCTCAATGCTGACAGCAGTTCTTGTTGTATGCATGCATTTCCCTCTTGGTAAAAGCCTCAAATAGGTTGTGGTGATATTCAGCTGGATGCTTTCTGCACTTGTTTCAAATTTTGCTTCTTCAATGGCAATTTGATATTTCACTTGGAATCTACCTTATTAATTTTATGCTAATTATTCAGCTTTTCTCTGTCTGGTTATAACTTTTTTCAGGAAGGGTAGAGCATGATATACTGTCTAAATCAAAATGAGCTTATTTTAATCATTGATTAAGCTGGTAATTTTGGTGTGCTGTGTCTTCTCATAGGAAACTGAGGAGATGATTGCAGATGTTCTTGGAGTAGAAGTTTTTAGACAGACAATTGCTGGAAATATTTTGGTGGGCAGCTATTGTGCATTTTCAAATAGGGGTGGCCTGGTAAGCAGTGCACCTTGTACTTAGTGAACATTTGAACGGATATAAAACTCCTTAATTCTGTGATTTGTGCTAATGAAATATGAAGTTAGAGTTAAGAGCACGTGTCTGTTTCTCACTGAATCTGTTGTTGCTCAGGTGCATCCTCATACGTCCATAGAGGACCTAGATGAACTCTCTACGCTCCTACAGGTTCCACTGGTGGCAGGGACAGTGAATCGTGGTAGTGAAGTAATCGCTGCTGGCCTGACAGTTAATGACTGGACAGCCTTTTGTGGATCTGACACTACCGCAACAGAATTGTCTGTTATAGAGAGCGTTTTCAAGTTAAGAGAAGCTCAACCTAGTGCCATTGTTGATGAGATGAGGAAGTCATTGATTGACAGCTATGTATGAGCTGCATGCCCAAGTTGAGTGTATCAATGAGTGTCTCTTATACAGGAATTATAGCTCCCCTGGTAAATTACTGTGTTCGCGAGTCAACTACAATTTTAAGCAAAAGGAATTCTGTATTTTGAATTTGTTTACTTGGCCTGAGTGATGGCCACTCTGTTCCTCTTGGTGAATCATCATGTTTGTGCGTGTGTGTGTTTTCTTTATTGTTTAAGCATTCTGGGTTTGTGCGTTTAATTGTTGACTGACATGTTTTCTGCCTGGGCCCTTCTTGGGCTTCCGCTTCTACTGAAGCATGTAAGTATGAGCTTTTGCCATCGATAGGGAAAGTTGCTTCTCTTGGTTAATTGAATTACCTGTGGCTGATTGTTCCCTAATGCAATATAAGTCCAACCAGTGGGTGTTCCTTTTCTGTGTTTCGGGAAATGGCGCTAGGAAGGAATGATCTGCTGGTGGTGGTTAATGTTCTTAACAAAGCATAGCAGTCTAATTTTGACAAACTTAAAATGGATTAGAAAAAAGGGAAAAAAAAAAAAGAACACGGGGGAGAGAGTTTTGGAGCAACTCATCCATGATTGGATTCTTAGCTGGATCAATGAGGGGGAAGGGTGGAAAAGATTAAAAAAAAAAGTGGTTAATGCTTGAAAATTTGCAGTTCTTCGACACAAGTCATTCCACTTGTGGCCAATTCGGGACATAGGCATTATAGCTTAAACACGTCCGCACATGGCTTGTGGATTTCACGACCTACAAATGTCCCATATCCTCTCTTTATCAAATGCAGAGGGTCTGTGAAGTAACCTGGCGAATGCTGTGTTCTTTCCTATTTCAGTCCTGCAATTCATGTGCAGATAGCCCATATTTCTATCCTGTAATTCATGTGCGTATAGCCCAGCACGATAATCTTCCACAAACAATAATGGTGTGTGGTACCTTCTATGACCTACATAGCCATTCTGTTCTGTTTTACAGCACTAACCATGCAAGTGTACCGCCCTGTGCAAGGTAATAGCCTAATAGGTGCATACACAACAGTGCATGCATGAGGAAAATCATGCAATAATAGAGTGATAGAAGAACTCATAAAATAGCTGGAGATTGATCAATTGTAACAGTTGATATCTATCTCCAGATTTAGGTATGGAACAAGGTAAAACTGCATATTTAAATATGAAAACATTGAAATGCAAGTTACAAACGAGTCAGCCACCTGAAACTAAAACCCAGAGCATGTCAACAGTCTTCATATCCGCTTCAGCTGTTGTCAAATTTTCCATTTCCAGTATCAGTTCATCAACTACAATAGAATATGCCAACAGTTTTGTCTCAGAATATACATGGGCTGTAAGAAAGTTATGAGCAATTGGAAGCATGGATCTCAACAAAAGATGTTTTGCTTGCACAGGGCTCGAGGATAGTAACCCCTGGCAACAAAAGAGCAGGCAGCATACCAAAACAATTGAGAACTGTGCTAACTAGATCAGTATATAATCCGGTAAACAAAATGTACACCACTATTCAGCTGGAGCATTCAAATGTGTTTTTGCTGTGTTCCTTTCTTCTGTTCTAACATGTCCACTTGTTGGCCTGTAATGTTCAAGTGCAAATTAATTTCTACAACAGTTGGATATGTTTTCGACATATATGAAAAAATATAAAGGCACGAGTGCAAGAAGAAAGAAAGATACAGGTACTATTTGTTATAGTCATCAGCCCTTTTAACACAAGATTTAAAATGCCAATTTATTATAACCGTCCACGTAACAAGAAGATTTTAACGACTTCTTCAGCAATTTATCCATTTCTATTTATGCCATACAAACAATAACAGCTCAAAATTTTTTCAGAATGAGTACATACAATTAGCAACAGATAGACATCCAAACTTATTTTCCCACACCCCTGGAAATTTTACCCACTTAAGATTGTGAAAAAGGTAAAACTGCAGCAAAAAGGTTGGTAAAAGACAAATTGAGTCAAATATAAAGATGAAGAATAACTTACAATCCATTCAACACTTTAATGCAAAGTCACAACAGGCCCAACCAGCATAATCCTAATTGGAAGACTTCTTGTAAATAGATTAACAAACCCAATTCTCTTCACAGCCTGGTAACATAAACGACAATATTAAGCATAGAGCTGCATAAGTGGTTAGATTTTGTACAGAGAAACAACATAGGTGGAGATCACCTGCTTAAGGCTATTGGCTTTCTTGTTGTTAAGAGAGGCAACAATGTTGTCAGCAGGATTGGAAACAATGCTACCAACAGATCCAGCAGCATATCCAGCCAAGCACGTTACTCCGAGCTGTTGAGCTTTCGTACAATCTTCCTTTTTCATTTGCATTACTTTTCGATACAAAAAGTCCACCGAATGCTCAAATGTCGAAAACATGACCACTGAGACTGCACAAATATTTGGAGATGAAATGAATAAACTACACATAATTTGTCATACTCTTTTGTAAGCCCCACTCTCCATCGTACATCTACAACTATAAGGAGTTATGTGCGCCATTATTCCCAACTTGTGTGAAGCAGTTTCTACCTGAATCTGTCTTTGTATGTAATGATGTATCATTTGAGTGAAATAGCAACAGCTGCAATGTGATTCAATATTCAATAAAGTGCAATGTCATTGATAATTATCCTCTTCCAATGTCAGAGTGCTGGTTCAGATGTATGAAAAGGACATATAAACTATCTATTGTAAAATGTTAATATTTCTCCACTTGAAGCCTTGTAACTTACCAAACATGAACAAGAAGTTCAAAAGTTCAAGCGCTATTACATTACAAAATAAAGTATAAATGAAGTTAGAAATTACATGGTAGATTACGACCCCACAGTGGAATAAGTCCTCTGAACAAGCTGAAAATGGAAACAAAGGAGAACTCAGGCGTAATTCTTCCAGTAAATATTAAACAGAAAAATAGGATTTTATGTGAATGAACAAGTTCATGATGTTGTAGGTCTATACCCATGAAGTCCTTCTGACATGTACAGCTTTGGAAAACCATCTGCCAAACCCTTCGCATAATGAGGCTGTGCTTGGACCCGAACTTTAATGGCCTCAAAAGGGCAGAGAGCCACATTTGCAATTACTTCCGCAGACATGCTGCTGAGCAAAAAGATAAAGCCCTTGTTCTGATCCACCAGAACATTTGAGTAAACCTTGTTGAAGTATTCATACAGGCCAAATCTGCAAGCACCTTGCATACCATAACCAAAGAATTTCCCAGCCCAGCCTCTCCAAAATGCTGAAGGGCCTTGCTCCCTTAGTAGAGAAAAGAGTATTCCAGGTTAGAGAATTTTTGAGAGAACAAAACAGAAGATATATAGCAAATTTGGTCAGACAGATCTACAGAGCAGCTGTCCATTAATAAGAAAGCTGGAATAATGTCCACAGAAAACAGCAGCGAGTTTACATTCTCTAAGGCTATCATGAACTGCGATCACTGTATAACTGGTATAAACTTTAGGACTGCTAAAGACAGATGTATATATAAAGATAAAAATCGCTGCATGAATCAAAATAGAAAAAGAAAAGAGCAAACTAGTAAGATAATAACTTATACAGGTTTGCAATTCATAACGTGAATAACCAACTTCCACTGAATACTTAGTATTAATATAAGCCAATGCACTTGGATATTTTACAACAGTAATGTCACCAACAGCAATTTATTAGATAGTCACACTTTTTTATATATACTGATAACTCTTGGGTAGAGCATTAGAGCGGAAACATCCATTAGATAATCAATAATACATTGCCTGATCATCGGGTTAACCTAGTCTCGCTTATTACAACAGCCTCAACAGCGAATCACAAAGCCCGTCTACCGTGCCTTTCTTCCAGTTTCTCCCTCTTAACTGGAAATACCAACTTAGCATGCCATCACCAAGTATAAATGCTAGAGCTCACAAATATCAGCATCATGCTTCTAAAATGCAAGCAGAGTTATGCCAGATTAATATTTTTGGAGGGACAGCAAAAACACATTCCTTAGTCCTCATTCAACAAAATAGCCACACTAGAATCAATTAGAGCCACCAAAAAAACCAAAGACCCACTACAAGCTGCAAGCTTCACCAAAAAAGGCCCATAAAGCAAACATCATTACGATCTCCAACAATGACCAATGAAATTGAAAAAGAAAACCTTGAAGCCCACAAAAATACAATTTTTTTTTCTTGTTTCTCCTACAAACACATTACAAAAAAGAATTTTTGTGCTTATTTATCGTTCTTTTTATGCAGACGTACCTGCATATTGACTTTGAGGACATCAAGAGGGGTGATGGCAAGATGGGTAGTTCCAGCACTGAGCATTCCACCAACTGCACATACCCCATAATACCCATTTGAGAATTCTTCACAGATTCTTTTTCCATCTCCCACTCCCTTCATTTTTACACTACAGAATAAATTCTACACTAATTCCTCTATTTCATCCCATCACAAGAAAAGCACCAAAATTTTTTAACAAGGTTTCCATTTTCGGGTTCTTCTGTTTCTGCCCGGCTGGGATCAGGAAGGTGGATGGATCTCTCTGGTCTTAAGGACGCTTAAACCCCAACAATTCCACAACTCTTGGAACCGACACTGTGAAGGGGTTTTCGCTTTCGTTAAAGCTCAGCCTTAAATTTGCCTTGAAAACGGTGTCGTATTTAACGACTTTTCGGCACTTACTTTTTCCCGTTTTGGGCCTTTTCCTGATTCCTTTTCCTGGGCCCATTTAGCTGATTCGACCTGTTAATCCTTGTTCGTTGGTTTGTTTGTTTGCCACGGATTTTAGCATTTTGGGGGATTGAACCTCAAAACTAATTGACATTTTTTAGGGAGCTAAACTTTTGTACGGCCCAAAAGCTCTAATTGCAATCTTTTTGGATATGAGGTTCAGAGGTTAAAGAAAGTAATTTAATTTTTGTCTTCGAGCCCTAAATTTTTTTTTTTTTTTGCACTGAGCTATAAGATCACATTGATAAATTAAACCTGAACGGGATTTTTTTCTCATACATTTAATTAACTATACAATAATTAATTTTTAATTGAAGTTAATGAACAAGAGTGTTATGCCATATAACGATGATATATCTAATTAAGCTAATTTGTTAGATTTGGGTTGGACAGGAGAAGCAGAAGTCTAGGAGAAGCAGAAGATTTGGATTGGTCGGTTCCTGTGACATAATTCTATACGTTTCCGAAACCTACTAGGAAATATGATGAATTTCCATAATGCAGCTATTTTCACCGCTATTAATTCCTATATATAAAACTAAAACACACGAAAAAGAGATTATTCATCCATTCGCCAGCGTACGAAGATCGACAAAGAGATGGAAGAGACTAGGGCTAAGGAAGAAGGCTCAAGTCACCAAGCATCGGACTTGAATCATGTTCTGGAGGCCGATTCCAATAAACTCATCATAAAGAATCACATAGCCAGTGGTAGTTTTGGTTCAGTTTACAAAGGTGTTTACGATGGTAAACAAGTGGCCGTTAAAGTTCTTGACATGGTGGGCGACTACAAAGCTAGGGTTTGGAACGCTTTTATTCAGGAGGTATTGATTTGGAACAGGTTGGATCATCCTAACATAGCAAGATTCATCGGAGCAACCAAAAAGGCGGCAAACCTGACCATAAATAAACAAGGACGAGGTAAATCTTGCATGCCAAGAATGGCTTGTTGCATGGTGGCTGAATATGTTCATGGTGGTACTTTGAGATCCTTCCTCAGAAGGAAAAGGTTTAGAAAGTTGCCTCTCGATACTGTTATTTGGCTTGCTTTAGAAGTTGCAAAAGGGCTGTCTTACCTTCATTCCCAGAAGATTGTTCATAGGGATGTGAAGCCGGAGAATATACTTCTTGATAAAGAAGGACGAAGAGCGAAGATCATTGACTTTGGGGTTTCAAGATTTGAGGATCTGAATCCTGGTCAGATGACATCGGCCCAAGGGACTGTGGGTTACATGGCTCCTGAGGTTCTAGTGGGAAGTCCTTATGATCACAAGTGTGATGTCTTCAGCTTTGGGATCTGCTTGTGGGAGATATATTGTTGTGACAAACCGGATTTCTCTACCAGCTTTAGGCCGATAATACCTCAGCATTGTCCAAGGAATCTATCCAGGTTGATGGAACGTTGTTGGGACGCAGACCCTAAAAGAAGACCGGAGATGGCAGAGGTGGTGAATGTTTTAGAATCCTTGCGGGCATCAATACTAGAAGAGGGCACCAAAGTTCGCGATAATCAGCTCATGAAAGGTTGCTTATGTTTTTTCCAATGATGAAGGCAGGCCACGAGACGTTTCCAATTTGATCACATCCAGTTCCAACTCAACAAGATTTGTGATGTGAGAGGTAAAGGACTAAAGATCGTTGATGAATGATAGTTATCTAGGAAGAGTCTAGCAAGTAAATTAGGGATTCACCTGCGATTTGAGAATTGAAGTTGTATATATTAGTAGCATAATCATTAGCTAGATTCCGGACGTGATAATTAAGGCGTATGCCCCTTTCTAGATTGTAAATACTTTGGTGCATCAATAAAATCCCTGATTTCTGCTTGAAAGCCATAAAAGATCGTCAGGGCAACATAAAAATGCAGTCATGAGATATTGTCAAGAAACTGGCCATTCTAATTGGTTCAGTTTCTCCTCCAACCAAGAAAGTGAGTTTCATTGACATATCAAACTATGTGTTATAATGTGCCTATAATCCAATATTTAACCCATATGTCGCGACAGATGTGGAAGAACTGAGACCGCGTTGCGACTGCGACCTGCGATGACAAACCATGTTTCTAATTGGTTCAATTTCTTCTCCAACCAAGAAAGCTAGTCTGGTGAATTTCATTGACATATCAGACTATGTTCCTATATGCTAGTCCTATTACGACAGTCAGCTTAATTAAATTGTCACTTTGTCTATGAAAGCTAATTTGCCCTAGTTTCTCTTTGCCGACTGGGCTGAACACAGACCTGGACATTGCAAGCAAGATGATAAATCAAGTACAGTGTTCAAGATTAAGAGAGATACTTCCCAATTGCCCATCACAAAAGCATGCAATCATTCCAATGCGAAGTATCACATCGGGAATCAATTCTTCATCAAAGACAAAATCCCAGAAATCGATGTCATAGCAAATATTCAAAACATAAGAGGAGAATAAGATCCTAGTCCTTTTCAGTCACATGCAAATTAAAGAAAGACCCCTAGCATGTTTTAAAGCTTGTTCCTTTAACCCCTCTGAGATTCCTGTTTAGCTAGTAGCATTAAACTACTGGTTCTTGGGTCCTTGCCCATGATTTTCCTTGTTGATTCTTGCTCCTGGATAAGCTGCATCTGGTGGAAGAAAGTAAAATGAAGGGTCTTCAAAGAAAGCTTCATCCACAGGAGGGAATTCTTCAAGTTGGAATGTGCTAGCTTCTGTTGAATTGAGTAGCTCTTCAACATCGTAGCTTCGGTCGGGTTCTGAAGGCAAGGCAATTTCAGGCTGCCCAGTAGAAGTAGAATAACTGGGAGTTTCTTGTTCAAGGCTTGGGAAAGTGTAATGAGGCACAACAAAGTCTGGGTCAATTGCAATGATGTCATTAATGCTAGAACGGCGCTTGTCTTCTGGAGTAGAGCTTTTTTGGCGCCTGAAGTACTTCTGGCCATGGCTGGCAACTTGGCTTGGTTTCCTTGTAGTCACACAATGCTTTGATATGTTCTTCCAGTCTCCTCTTCCAAATCGTTTCAGTCCAACCAGAAACATCCTGCATGCATAAATAAAAAGAAGAAAAAAAAAAGTTGTGGAGAAACAGTTCATAAGGCCAAAAAAATTGATTGATTAATTTTAACATTTAAGCAGAAATAAATGATCTCATTGTGATTTTTGAGGAAGCAAACATTATTATAACTGGAGCTAATCTATTTATCATTCTTGATGTAAAAAAAAAAAAAAAAAATCTAAAGTATTCGTTTAGAAAGGAATAATTGCTTTAGAATGCCAATTAACTTGTACATTTTTTTTTCCTAAGATGTAAATGACCATATTTAGGCTTTCGATTAAACAAAAAATTAAGATTAAAATTTAGCTATGTACATGGATGTAACCGTTTTAAAAGGTTAATGCCTGTTTAGGAAGTGAATAATGAGATTTGTGGGAAAGTAACCAGGTCTATTTGGCAGCTCAAAGACTACAAAAAAGACATAAGCCACCGCCAACACCATAATGAAGTGGTTGACTGTATTGACAGCTTGGATTGATTAACGGATGGCTAGTGTAATTTTAAAAAAAAAAAAACAAAAACTGATGGCTAGTGTGTGCGAAAAAAAATTCTTGACTAATAATACTTAAAATCTAGATTATGCAGGAACCAAGTTCGAATAAAACAAATTATCTCCTCAAAAAAAAAAAAAAAAAGAAGAAGAAAAATTATCGAGTATGATCTTAACTTTCACTTAATTTCGCGACTCAAAAAAAAAATTTTTGGGGGACAGACCACACCACCTGGTATAGCTGTTAGAAAGTGCTTCAATGAATTGTAAAGTGAAATTGATTTTGGAATTGTGGCCTGAAAGTTGAAGAACGATCAAGAAAATGAACAGAAACAAATTTTGACACTAGGTTGTAGCTAGAGATGTCTGGCATTCAAATAGAGAGGAAGCATATATATATCGATTGAATCAAATTATTCGGAATGATAAACAGTACAGATGCTCTTCTTCTGTCCAGCGAATCGTTTTTTGACGCTGATCATTTTTGGTTGCTTGTTTCTTTCTTGAGGAAGACCCTGTCTCCTCCCCGGATTTGAGGGCGCCTGGATTCTCTACACCATGATCATTTGTATGCAGCGGCATTGGATAGTAATTATCAGCCTCTGTCAAATTCGTGTCACGAGCTAAGGCTTGATGATCCTGATAGAGCTCCTCTGACTCATCCACAGATTTCCATGGGATTTTGTCAGCTCCATCTTCACAGGAATTTGGTGAACTGCTGTCGAGTTCGGCCAGAGCATTTTCGAGTAGCTTGTCGTCTTCAGGAGACCATTCCATTGTTTGCACAACTCGGGGATTCTGACGGGAAAGACAGCAGTAGTAAAAATGGGATTATATACAGCCCTTCAATTCCATTAATGCATATAGTGACAGTATATATTGGCCATGTGGCAATAACAACAGTCCAGGATTTACTTCTCAAGTCCTCCCCTTTTCACTTTATCCTTTTTAAGGCTTAGAATTTGCTATTGATTAGGTAGCATGCCTTTAATTATATTGGTTCTTAATTATACAGAGTGAAGGATTTAGAAAAATACCAAAATATTCTAGAAAAATAGATGGGTACCGTATATTTTCTGACATTCTCAATTGAAGCCCAATTTGTGCGTATAATATAGTTTTTGATCATTAATTTCATCACTAACCAAGACAAATTAATTGCTCCTATGTATTGTGATTTACATCAATGACCATTGATATATTTGCATTATAATTGCTAAATGCCTAGTTGGTAATACATAGACGATGTACTAATTATCATCATCAACAAAACAAATTATTGTGTTTTGTTTTTGTGAATTTAATTAATAGCATGGTCCCCAAACATGACTTTCTATGTAAAATAAATATAGAATCTACTATAAAAAAAAAAACTAAACCAGCTTATTGCTCATTAAAAATGTTAATCTTGCAGTAGTATATAATATGTTAGTTCTTGAAATTGTGGTTCTTGATTTTTTTTTTATATATATTTAATACAGTCAACTGAACCGCTGGATTTTCTACTATATAATATTATTTTTACTTCTCTGGGTGTTTAAGCATGCATACATTTACGCAACTGTTTTTGGGGACCAACGTGCAAGACTCGGTAAGACAAGATTGGCAGATGTGCAATTCTGGCAATTACATTCTTGATTGATTGTTTGTGTTGGGTTTGGGCCGGTGCATATATATGATTGAGTTTTTGGTTCAATTGTGCAATTATTGTATATTTTACACAATTTAATGTACACTAATTAATATTATTTTGTTGTACGAGCAACTTTTGTTCATGTACACAAACTCAATATATAAATACAACCATGTTTGTAAGCACTGATCAAATCGCGAAAAAAAGTACATGAATTGCACCAACCGTACTAAAACCTAATATTATCCCTGCCGCAAATCTGTTATATTAAGAATACAATTGAAAATTGTACTCTATATGATAAATACCAATACAATTACCGTATGTAACATGTTACTTAGTGATATACAAATATATAGAGCTGTAAACGAATCGAAACGAACCGAGTATCTCATGTTTGAGCTCTGTTCGTTAAGTGATTCGAACTCCGTTCGTGTTCGTTCGTTAACTTTCGAACTCTAAATCTGTGTTCGTGTTCGACTCGTTAAGTAAAGTTCGTGTTCGTGTTCGACTCGTTTAACATAAACGAGCCGTTCGCGAACACGCTCGAAAAGTTCGAATCCAGATTATTCTAGGCCTTAAATATGCCACACAAATCATTAATCATCCTAAAAAATAATTAAATACTAAATGACTAAATTCCATTATTCAATAACTGCATAACCAACATTAACATAAAAATAACAAATAAAACAAAGTAATTTGTCCTTCAAATATAAAAATTCAGCCATAAGACAAGTACAAATTTTCGGCAGCAGCCAATGGGGAAGGAAAACAAAAGTAAGGTTGGAAAGGGAAGGGGAAAGTTTTAGAATTTCTTATGAGTAACCCTAAAATTTGTCAAATAACAATTATGTTCTTGTTCGCGAACGCTCGTTAAAATTCGCGAACATGTTCGTGTTCGCTCGATTATTAAACGAACACAAAAATTCGTTCGTGTTCGTTCGTTTAAAGCTTTCGAACGAGTCTTTAACGAACACGAACGAGTCGAAACGAAGCGAGCTAACGAACAGTTCGGTTCATTTAACAGCTCTACAAATATATATCATATATTACAGTTATATTACATATATATATATATATACACTATCACAGTTGAATGTATGATACATATGTAAAATTTTTATTTTAAATTTAAATTTAGATTATATGTCATATATCCAGTGATAAAAATATATATACTATCAGTTTATAAAAGATTAATTCTATGTATGTATGTATATGTAAGTATGTATGTACGTGTACAACTATATAGTTATATATTGTAATGACATGAAAAACATGATATGTAAAAGAATGTGAATTCGAAAACGGTGCCCACCGATTGCTGCTTAAGTTATTATTGGAGGAATTGGTAAACCTTTGTGAGATGTCTTGGCGAAGATGATCGCTTAGACTTGGAAGCAGGCCGGGGGTTACTTTGCTATGGGATCATCCAGATGAAGTCCATCCTTACATGTCAACAGATTGCATGGATGCAACTTATCATCGATTTCTCCCATGTAGTTATGCTTTAAGCCTCCTTCTTTTTGTGATATACAAAAATATATGCCAACAAAAAGTTTGTCATTACTAAACTTCAATGTTGTTCCAAGGGCGAGCAAGGAAATGATTTTGCAAGACTAGTTTTGAATCTGCAACTTTAGGTAAACAAGTATGATTTTCAATGAGTGGTAAAATTCAGTCTTCACAATATTAGCTCAAGTATCTTAAATCTTGGGAGCCAATACATATTTGGAACTGTAAATAGTTTCATACATTTGAAGAGTACATCTAGGTTAGTTCAAACCCCGTTGCAGTCCTCAAATCGAGGATCCTTCTTTTTTCATCATCCATCCGATACACTCACTTTTAGACCCAAAATTAGAAGAAAAAAAAACCCCTTATTTACGCAACTGAATTTGTTAAGAATGCTGAAAAAGAAAGAGGGAGACACCATATATATTGGCAAATCTTTTGGTAAATTACGTTGTTAATTAGAAAGAAATCTTTTGGTGAATCGAAGGACGAAAGGTTTAATTTTACAACAGTTGATAATTAAGAAAGATTAGCGATACGAGACGAGGGATTAATGATAGGAGTTCATCTCTCCCGTATGAGCCCATTAATGCATTCTAGCATTGTTAACTCGATCGAGTTTGTATATTACTTTGAATATCTAACTTCGTGGGATCGATGTTTAGGTTAGGAATCAAGATCCATCCATCCAATTTTTGTTTCTTGGCATGTGTATGTGCAAAAGGGGTACGCCCCTTTCTTGGTTGTAATTACTTTGGTGCATCAATATGAAAGTTCTGATTTTAGCCAAAAAAAATATTTAGTATTGTGACGAAAACCCTTAATTCCGGATATCTCAATGCAGTGATGACATATATTAATTATCAAGAAACTGGCCTTTCCAATTAGCTCACTTTCTTCTCCAACCACGAGATCGATCGAGCCAAGTCATGAGGTGAATATCATTGACATATCAAACGACGTTCCTGTATGCGCACTGGTCTTCTTGGTCAGTGAAATTTAATCTGGTTTATTTTTGCGAATTGGCCCCAGGATGAGGATGCATGAAAGTTCAATTTTGAGCGTTAAAGGGTTAGAAAAATACTCACCACGATCTGCGTGCGTGCAACCATTCCACTGAGAAATACTGCATCGAGAATTCTTCATCCAAGAGTGCTGCAAAATCCCAGAAACCGATCGATCGATATCATAGCAAATCTTCAAAACATAATTAGAAGAGAATAAGGTCTTAGTCGATCATGAATGCTATTATAACGTACGTACTACGCTTGTAAAATGGAGTAGGATTGTTCTTGAAGTACTTCTGGCCGTGGCTTGCAACTTGCCTTGGAGTCTTTGTAATCACAAATATAAATGCTTTGATATGTTTTTCCAAAATTAGGGAAGGGACATCCTGCATGCATAAATAAAAGAAGTCATGGAGTAATGTCAAATTGTGTTTCTTCAACAATTACGAAGAAATAAATTATGTGTCTCATTTGAGGAAACAAACACGTCCGGATGGAGCTAGCTAGTCTCCTTAGATATTCTTGATTCTAAACCTTTTAATCTATTTGCTTAGAAAGAAACAGTTACTTTTGCTAGAATGCAGATTAATTTGTACATTAATTTATCTCAAGAAGTGAATGACCATGCATTTCCATCCTTAATTTCGGTAAAAAAAAAAAAACCCATAAAATGTGTACGTGGATGTATGTAATGTGATTACATATAGTCAATCATACACGTGTTGTCAAAAATGTCGGTGCATGTTTTGGAAATTAATATGATATTTGTGAGACAATAATATTCCTGTCGATTAATTGGCTGCTGCAAACAGATAAAAGTGACCGGCATACCATAATGAAACAAATTGCGTACCATAAGAAAATGTTAACGCTAATTAGATAAATAAAACAAATTGCGTTTTGTGAATTTAATAGCATGGTCATGAAATTTGAGTTTCTACGTAAAATAAGTATATATGGAATCTATATATTATGTCGTACCCTTGAAAAACAACTATTTAACCAAGCTAGGATTTTGACCTTTTCTTACATTTCCCTCGTCGTAGGCTGATAGTGCAAGGATTTAACTTGTAATTCATTGGCTTGTTTATCATCCTTTCGAGAAATATTTACCACAAACATAGAGGTGAGGTAAATCCCAACTCCACAAGCATTTTTGTCTTAATTAGCCTCAAGTTAATTTTTATTTTCAGCACAATCAAAACTACTGGAGTTAATTTTACCTATCTTTCAAGACTTCGGACTCGTGACCGCGAGGTGTCTTACAAACTGACAAGTTACACTTCGTTTTCACTGCCAAATTAAAACTAGGAGATCGATCATCTTATATTCTTTTAGTGATAGATGTAACTGCAGTAGGTGACAGGTAGAATACACAAGCACCACTATAAGCAGCAACACGTTGAGATGGAGGAGTCATTTTAATCTTAGATTTGCCTTGAGAAGCTGATCGAGAATAGAGGATTTGAGGTGGTTGATAACTTCGCGAGGCGAATGAAGTACTTTTGGGCATGACTTGCAACTTGAGTTGGTGTCTTTGTCAATACACTATTCCTTGAAATACTTCTCCAGTCTCCTTTGCCATACTTTTTCAAACCAAGTAGAAAGTTCCTGCATCAAAACATAAAACAAGAGAAATAATCAACCTTAAAGATTGAACGAGAGATGCTAATAAAACTAAGATGAAAATGGATTGATAACTGTTTGATAAAGCTCACATGACTCCCCAAAGCAAGAAATGCAAAGCAACTGGTGTTTCTTCTGAAAATAGATGGTTCTATAAATGAAACCTCCACAAACGGCATAATGGTTTGCAACTACAATTTAAACTTCTTACTCTTTTGCTCATTTTGTACTTTGATAATTCGCCATTTAATGAACCAAGGGCCTCCGTTGAACAAATAAAGTGAAAGTAATCTTGAATTATCTCCCAGAAATAGGAACATGAAAATCGAGCTAAACTTTTGATCAAGAAGAAGAAGAAAACACAGAATAACACATAAGCCTGGTCAAGCCAGTTAAATTTGAGGCTTATGTATTTATATTAACAGATGAGAAGATGGATTCAACAACAAAAACAAAAGGGTTTATGAAACATGCATACTCGTGTTCTTCCTTAGTCCAACGAGTTCCTTTCTTTTTCTGCCGATTTTCAACAGAAGTTAAAGTGCTATTTGGAGTTGATTCAGGCTCTACATTGTTGGTTGTTCTGCAATTAGGTAGTGGACCACTCCATGTTTCAATGAAATTAACATCTTCAACTAGCAATTGAAAATGCTGTTTAATTTGTTCAATTGTCTTTCCGGGGACCTTGATAGCAATCTTCTCAAACAAATCCCAAGAATTAAGGTCATAGACAGCAAGGGCATTTTCAAAAAGTTTCTCTTCCTCAAAAGTCCATTCCGAATCCTTTGATCGTACCGGTGAACAAGTGAAGGACGATATTGCATCTTCATTAAAGGGGTAGCAGGAGAGATTTGATAACTCCATTCTCACCAAACAAAACTTCAAATTGAAGCCAAAATTGATTTTTGTACCTTGGATTTTTTAAGTACATACAAATTACATATGCATAAACACGTATACATATTCCTAAGAGGAAAATGGAGTTTGAAACAATAGTTTTCTGGTGGGTTAGGGGTAAACATATAGTCTCGGGCACAATTACGTTGGAGAAAGCATAATTATGAAGAGGAAGTCCAAAGTAAACATCACTAAAGCACAATTAATGAAGTTTAATATTTATTTCAACATAAATTAAGAAAATATGGGAAACATTTATACGACCTTGTTTAAGAAAGCGCGTCTCATCAATGAGGTGTATTGCAAGAAATCAAAACGCTCATATACAACATTTTTTTTAAAAAAAAAATTTCTTTTTGGTAGAATGTTGGTATAATTATCAAAACATTTGCTTGACGACAACAAAAATTTTTTTTTTTTTTACATGTTTTGCTACCTTAATTTGTAGGATGTTTTTGCAATTCTTGAAGGTTAGGTTTATCTAATCAGTACGCAATAAAATACTCGTTAAGAGAGTTACGAAAGACTAATTTTTTCAACCATTGAGATTTATTACAGAAAGTGTTTAAATGAAAAAGAATAACAGATGTGAGCGTTCTCACGCTCACATAATGAATTTGATGCGAATTAAGTGCATTCGATTAAATACTTCAACCTAAATTTCAACAAGGTTGGTATAGCATGATGAATTAGCTAAGATGGATTCATACAACGTTTCATCACGAAAACTATATATGGTTTAAGGCAACTTGGTATTGTATTAGTGCATGAGATGCTGAATTGATGATTGAATAGAGACATATCGATACTTTGGAATTAATGAGCATTTGCCATACTAATAATAGAGAAACGCAACCACTTTGCCAAGAATGTTGTTTTAAAGGTCCCTCCCTGACCTCAGGGATCAACCTCCTCACTGGCTGAAGGTTGGAATTTCAGAATAATCTCCTAAGTGCTTGTTAATACTCTTTCAAGTGTTTTGTTCCTATCACTAAACGCGTTTGAAAACAAAATTGACCATGAGAAATGACAAGAATGGTTATTGGTTATGTTATACCGATTTTTCTTGTTCAAGCAAATGCAGTAAGTTTTCAGAGTGTGATTGAAAGTGATCCCTCAGCCTTCTTTTAAGGTAGTGTCCTTTTCATTTAGTGGAGCTACCTTACAATTTTGTCGATGCAACCCCTCAAAAGCAAAGAAGGGCAATGCTATTAATCCATCCTTGCACCATACCATAAACATGTTCTTATCACCACACCATGAATTTCCCCTTCTTTTTGTTTCTGCAACAATGTAAATTAAAGATTTCACGCGTTCTATTTTCATCTCCACGCAAAGCAAATCAAATTAGCTGTGGAGAGTCATATAGTCATGCTTGAGTGTTTCTACATTAACCTGATGTGATCAACAAAAAAATTATACCACAAAGTCCATAAATCAAAAGTTGTCAATATTTGGTGCAGAATCAGAGTTGGAGATCAAGATTGTTCCATTTGCTAAATATGTTCTTGCTGCATCTACCACCCCCGGATGTCTAAGCCTATATATACTTGTATTGGTGCTGTGAGGTCCTGGATTGGTTCTACAAATCGAATGTAAACCGGTCTTCTTCTTCGTTAATTATTTTAGGAGCTCACGTTATGAAACTGTCATGCATGTGCATTCCAAGTTGGACATTTGTCGGCAAATTAGGAAGACGTATAGAAGATTTGTGCATTGTTTTACGTACCCAATCAGTCTCTTAATTATCTTCGGCAAAGTTTATAGTTCTTGTTTTCACAAGTTGGATTTATATGTAATCTTCCACATGTGGGGTGGATTTATTTCTGCCTATAGATTACCAATAGTCGGATGCAGGAAAAAAAAAAAAATCGACAGCCAAGTCAAGAAGTTGGAAATTTGTGCAGTGCAACTCATTTGCATTTGCTACAAATTATTTGTCTTCTTTATGCTGTAAAAAACTTGATATTTGATTGTGACATTGATCATAGCATCCCATCTATGCTTGACGGAGGCATGAGTCAGACCATGTACACTTAACAAGTGGAAGAGTGTAGGATGGCTTTAACTGAAATTATGAATATTTGCAATTGCTAGACGAGTGTATCAGGCAATAAATTCTGCAATTAAGTTTCGAGCAAATCATATACATAGAGAATGTATACACTATCATAATTGAATTCATGACATACGTGCAAAAGTTGAATTTTAAATTCAAATTTTATCTAATTGTCATTTATCAAACATTGACAATATATACACCATCATTCATTATAGGAAAGATTCATCTTTAAGGAGTAACTCTTGTATACACTGACGACAACGTGTAAATTATTATTATTGAATTTTTTACATAAATATAAATTTTAAATTTTACATAGTCATCATTCATTTAAGATTGACAATATACATGCATTGTCAATGCATAAAAGATTAATCGAATTACCTAACTATTTAGCTATATGAGATAATTGTTCAACCAAATAAGAAAGAAAGTGGTAGCTAGCAATAAACAAGAAGGATCTGGACAGTGTGCATCCAAGCATTTCTCAAATATTTGAAATTTACAGCTAATGATCATAAAAGTGTGATGAATTCCAGCTTTTGCAGACATGATACGGATGCAGCAGCTTGCAGAAGAATGCCAGACAGAACCAGAAAAGGACTGTATGGGAGGAAAATATGGGGAAGAGCAGAAACAAATGAGATGAGGGCTACGTCAAGATGACGTGGAACGAGTATTTAATTGAATATTATTGAATAGAATCTTACCTCGGCAAAGGAAAAAAAAAATGAAAAATAATTTTCCCTGGTTCTGGGACTAGTTCCCTAAAATGAAACTAATTGGACTAACATGCCACTAGGTAGCTTTTGTAAGAATGATTACTGTGTAAGTTGTGATGAGATTAGTTTATACTTAAGAATTTTGATTGCCATTTAAAAAAGGGTTAATTACATTTACCTCCCTGAGGTTTGACCATATTACCAATCAATCCCTGTAATTTGTCCAAATAACGGTCTCACCCTTTGAATGATCAAACATTAAACAAAAACCCCCTTAATGCCGAAAATGCCCTTATTGAGGCCATGTTACATTAAAAAAAGAACATATTTTTATTTTATTAACCCTGAAGCAATCCAAAAAAATAGAAAAAAGTTTTTGCTTATTATTTTATAAAAACCATATCTTTGCTTCCATAAATAGTTTTGAATCAATAATTATTTTAAATCTTCAAAATGAATATTAAAAATTAGATAAATTGAGAAAAAAATAAAAAAAGAAGAAATTATTTTAATTCCTGAAGTATGGTTCGAATTTGTGATGAGATTAGTTTATACTTAAGAATTTTGATTGCCATTTAAAAAACTTGTACCCTTCTCGTTTAGATCTTTGTATTAAAAAAAAGTAATAATTTTAATTACGCAACAAAGAAACTAAGATCAAAATATTCCCATGCAAAATATTACAATAACAAATAGCTCCAAAACACTACACAATAGCTATAGTTAATCAATAATTGTAAAAATGCAACTTATGAAGAGATTCAAAACCTTACATAATTTTAAGCTTAGCTTTTGGAGATGGTGAAGTCATATCAAAATGTTATCAATTTATGAAGTGAAGTCAAATCAGTAAGTTATGCATTAGGCAACTGTTGAAAAAAAAAAAAAAACTCCATTTGGTTAATGCATTTAAATTCTTTGTTAATGCATCATGATAAATGGCGTTTCCTTTTCAAATTGAAATTTCCAAGTATTGCTATCCCTACACTCTAGAATTGAATATAATGCAATCACTAAAAAATCTTTATTCCATTCTCACTTCTCTATTCATTTCTTCTTCTAAACCACAGTGTAAATAATAATAATAAAAAAAAAAACCTTAAAATGTGGTATGTTTGTCCAAAAGTGATTTCACGTACCAACAAAATTATGGCGTATGTTCGTCCAAAAGCCAAATGGGAAAAAGAATAATTATTATGTTATGGATCTTGAATCTATAGTCTTTCTTTCTGACACAATAATCAGTTTCGTAAACTCTCCGAAGTCACCAACAAAAATAAAAATTAAATTAAATCCTCTGATGAATCATCAATCTCTCCGAGGATTGCACATTTTTTAAAACAACTAGTTTGTCCCTTAATCAAAGAGAGGGAAGGGGGGGAAAAAAAAAAGAAAAAGGAAACACAACAGATCAGCGAAGCACGTTCCTACCTCTGTTGCCATCCCGCAAATCATCCCCTTTGAACTGGTTTTGCGATACCACAGAAAATTGCACCTCTCTCCTCCCCTCTCACGTTTCCCTTCTTTTACAGCAGCCCTTCTCCTTTACACGTCCAAGGGCGACTTTGACAGGGACCGTCTTAAATCCTTATTGATTTTGTGTATTGGGTCGCTGGCCTTTTCACCAATCAAGAAAGTACAGCTCTGTTTTGTTTTGGCTTTTGGATTCTTTTGCCACCAGGTTCTGTATTTAAACGAACATAACCCCACCAAAAGATTAAGAAAAAAGAGCCCATCTTTTTATATACAGTATTCCCTTTTCAGCATTGGTAGATCTCTGCATGTAGTATAATACAAAATCAACATTACCATCAGTACCTTTACAATTCGCTGTTCTTGAGCCTAAGGTACCCACATAGCATATTCCTGTGTTTCGAGACTTTTTTGATACGTTGGTTTGAATTGTATTTTATGATCGTGTTTAGTTTCCTGAGTTTCTGAGCTGATTTTTCCATTTGCTAATAGATAGGTTGGCAATGGCAAGGTTAACTGAAATCAAGTTTAGATTTTTTTTCCTTTTTAATCTCAGTAAACTGATTGTATGTGAAGATTTTATTGATCTTGCATCTGTTCTGATGAATTTTATTTGAATGATTCTTTCTGATTCTTGTACTTTCATGCTTCAAGCGCTCTTATATGTTGCCACTGGGGAATTCTCCTGATGACAATTTCCTGCAATTCTG